CGACAGGAGAAAGAAAGCGCGGAAACCCGCACGTGGAAGTCTACAAGAGAGGAGACAAAATAGGACCAGGGGAACGGGAGGCAAGCAGCAGACGAAGTGGAGGAGCGGGTAGACGAGGATGGAAGGAAGCAAAATTGAGGCCGCGTCCACCTGTAAGATCTGCAAAACACAATGAGCCATATCCGCAGAGCGTGCATGCGAATGAAGCCGGCAGGTGGGAAAGGAGATGGAAGGTGGGAGGAGGGGGCGGGGAAAGGTTAGAGGATGCAGCCTAGGATGGAGGGAACAGGCGAAGGAGGACGCAAGCAGCAGAGGAAGGTGGATGAAGAAGCAGACCAGGGTGGAAGGCAGACGAGAGTGGAAGGCAGATTGAGGGTGGAAAGGCCGCCTAGTCGAAGCCGCGTCCAACTGCAAGTCCTGCCAAACACAATCAGCCATGTTCGTTGACGGCGAAGGTGCATGCGAAGGGAACGTTGCCAACCTGGATACATGTACGCTTATGCTGAGAATGGTTCTCCATTCTAAACCCTCCTGCCCTGCAGCTGCTTAAACACCAGTCGAAAATGTGGAAGTACAGGATGTGTGCAGTGCGATAGGATGACGATTGAAAGGCACTCGAACCATGTAGCAGTCCACTTCATTCCATCAGCGATTCTTTTAATATCCCCGTGACCTGCGAATGATGAAACACGACCAAGCAAACCTGTGGGAGTACAACCTGCATGTGACAGAAAGGCAGTCAACCTGCACCATACAACAGTCCCACCTTCCGTGACTTGCAGTGCAGATGCTGAAACGCACAGCCAGTCGAATATGAGGGGGCAAAGGGTGCATGCGACAAGAATCCAGTCAGTCTGTATCATGAGACAGTCCAACCAGGTGCCCTTCCCAAAATCCTCGTGACTTGTAGACGCTGAAACAGAGTCGAATGCGTGGGAGAGCAGGATACGTGCGAAATGAAGCCAGTCAGTCTGTATTACGTGAGTCCAACCTGGTGCCGTTCCCTTAATCCCCGGGAATTGTAGGAGCTGAAACACAGCCGACGGAATACGTGGGAGAATAGGATACGTGCGACATAAAGCCAGTCAGTCTGTATTATGTGAGTCTAACCTGGTGCCTTTCCCTGAATCCCCGAAAATTGTAGACGCTGAAACACAGCCGACGGAATACGTGGGAGAACAGGATATGTGCGACATAAAGCCATTAAACCCGGTTTCCGTTCCGTGAGTCCCCCAAACCGCAACCTGCAGCTGCTGGATGACCAAGATGCTAGAGGAGCACAACACGTCCAAGGAAAGGGTGAACCTGGCGATGCTAAACCAGTGGAAGCTTCTAACATCCCCCGTCGCCAGCAGTTGCTGAAACCAAGAGCAAACGGTGCAGATGGAAACAGCCTGATAGATCGTCATTGAAACAACCAATCAAATTGCTTCTTACGCTGGCCTCTTAAGAATCTTTTGCTTCAAAATGCTTCTAAAGCCTGTTTAGCTGTTATGGACATGAGACAAAGCACAGAGTTAAGGTGAACAACAACCGCAAAGTTTGTCAGATTTTGCTTGCCTTCACGACCTGCTTGGCTGTAGCAGACGAAGAGAGCATAAAAAAATAATATCGTTTTCCACTTCGAAGGATACAAACAAAATAACACCACGCTGAACCTGTCGTACAAAGTACAAACATAAACAGAAATACACAAATCAACAGCATTACACAGCATCGGTCGGAGTGGAAAGACGAATGACCGCAATCGGCATAAAACCGTCGAGCTCAGCTGTTGAATCCAAGTCTTCGTAAAACGGATGACGATCCAAAACGCGTTGATCTCTTTCCAGCAACTCCTCGCGCCGGAAGTAGACGAACTGAACACCCACTCGCGCCGGAAAGAAGACTCTGCTGGTGCACCAGCCTCGCCTTAGCAGTTCCATGACGTCGATGTTAGTTGTGAAATAATGCAACATGCTTTCCTCCAAACTCGAGCGTGAACACATGTTACCACGCGTGGCGAAAACTCCAATTCGAGCAGAAGGCAGGCATGTCGATCTTGTATATGAAAGTTAGGCCACACGAGCAGCCGTTGATGTTCTCAGCCTCGAAGCTCCTTAGACATTGACGTCGCGACATCGCCAGTTAACCCTCAATATCTCGTCAGCGTTAGCAGCTCAGCAGCAACAATCGTCAGCAATAACGGGCCAAGATGCACCGACCGAAGAGACAGAACCCGGACTGAGGATGTGTTACAGCTTCAACAAAACCGTAGTTGAAATCACCGCCATCAGAGACGATGAATAGCAGCAGAAGAAGTACCTCTACCGTCCAACAACCACCTGGAGGCCGAAACAGCTTCGATCATCGTGGTCCAAGAGGAGACATAGCCGGGGCAGAGATCGAAGAATCCGAAAAAACAACCTCATCCGAACGGTCGAAGAATAGGTAAAGAAGGACGACGAGGGAGTAGACATTTCAAAGAGTCCATTGGAATAGCACAGACACCTGAAGAGGGGGATTCTATGAAAGAATCTAGCTCACAGCAGAGCCGGGCCATGGGTGCAGAAAATTTGTCGCTTGAAGTCGGGGTTGTCAAACCACTGGAACACTCCCATTCCTGAAAATGACCATAACTGAGGTTGTGTGGAGTGAAATACACCATAGCTGTGCTGGTTGGAACTTGGAATTGGAAAAGAAGGGGTAAGTGGAGGTGGAAGGGATCCCTGCGACCGCGAAGTTTGATTGGCGACTCGGGCGACTGAAACCAAACTTCTAGGATGCCTGTGGGCCATTCCCGCCTTATCGGGAATGTGCGTCGCCAGCAAACAACCAGCTTCGGTTTCCCCTGAAATCACGCGGGCCGCTCTTCAGCATGCAATGCGATGCTCCGGTGGCATCGCGCGTGATTGCTCTTTCGTGCTGGTTCGCGAAAACGTCGCGAGCCTGGAATCGTCTGAAACGCATCGCCCCCCACTGCCACACTGCACCCACCAACCTAGCAGGTTTGCATCAAGGTTGTGGTTTGGTTTGGTGGTGCCAGCCTGCCAGGGTTTCGTGAACGTCACGCGATGTACAGTAACATGCATCACTGGGGAGCTGGGCAACTGGTTTGAGCACCTGACCTGATGTTTGGGGCATGCACGAAACAGTGGCAATTGTGGCGACAGTCGCACACCGAGCATATCACATCACACAAACCATGCATGCATGGACGGTGTCGGTGGCTCGGGAAAATTTTCTGGATGGATGAACGAGGTTCTGTAGCTCAGGTTCGCTGTGGGTGAGAATCCAAGGCTGGTGAAAGCGGTGGTTTGGAGCATTTTCGTCGGCCCAGCTCCCAAGTCCACCCACACCACAACCTGTCAACATTACGTCACTACAGAACGTCTCGGTATAGTCGCACGCCTACACTCCTCACTTCCATCTCCACTTTTGTAAAATCATGTGCGGCTGATTGTTGCGACTTTTGGCCATGCTGGTGGTTTGCGCGATGCAAGTACTTTCAGTACGGTACAATTTTCTTTGCCTCTAGTGAGGGTGCGACGCGGGGGAGAGTCCTACCCAATCGCATATCACCCCGGTACCTTCCAAAATAGGCATGCATTCGTTATACGGCTCGTGCTCCATTGTCACTCTTCAGTTTGTCACTCTGCTACAGTATTTAACCGCTGCAGAAAGAAACCATTCGGGTCGCCTGACCGACATATTCGCGAGAAGAACCTAGCCAGTTCTGTCATCCTATTCGTCTATCAGAGTAGTACGGCTCGATCCCGACTCTCGGACGACTCTCTGCGACGAGCCACTCGCAGTTCTGTTCTGACTGACCGTCTGGGCGATTGATGGGTCGAGCCGCACAGCCCAGCCAGTTTCTCTGACCAACCATCCGCTTCGGCAGCATCTGCGCCCCAAAAACCAAACCTACTGCTTCTGAGCTGAACCACTGCGCAGGTTTTGCTCGAACAAATCCGCTCTCACAGTGTACAGAGCAGGCCTTGAACAACTTTTTTACGTCTACTGCGGTTAACTTTGTTTCAACACGGTGCAGAGCGGTAAGGGCTGAGAACCGCTTTTCACCGTGTTGGATCGTCTTGAACCACGATACAAGAACTGTAAACGAATGAGAAATGTACAACCTGACGTCGCCCTTACCTCCCATTTCACGTACAGAGGCGCTTTGAATCCAGATGTTCCTACTTCCACGACACAACAAGACATTTTGTGTCTTTTGTAGTGCAATGCGTACAAGGTTCGGAAAAGTCGCGACTTTCTTGTCTATCAGTGCTTAACGGCAATACAAGCCCTTGTGGTTTCCGTGAAAAGAGCAAGAGAAGCTTGGCACTTGAGGCAAAGGAGAGCGTTTCTACTTGGAATGCGAAGGTTAGGTTAGGTACTTCCCTCGAAAACAGCGTAGATCAGCTTCCAACAGCGTTTCTTAGCCTATCTCCGTCTTCTAAAAACAATGGCGACTTTGCCGTCGCAGCGCCTCGGCAGGTGGGGGTCGTCGCATCGAGTCGAATCCGACGCGGACATGGGGAGTCTAGACCAACTCTTAGAATCCCTAAAAAAGGAACCGAGTAGTTCCCGCCGATATACCGCCTTCGCCATCTCACCAATCGCTACCGCATTCCGCGCGTCGTGGCTCCTAATTTCCGTCTTGCTCCTCGCAATAGCAGGCGTGTCGCTATTTATCACGCTCCAGCCAAAAGGCTTCACGGTGTGGCATTTGACGATAAAATCGCCGTCGTCATCTCAAGGACGGGTGCTTCGCATCCACGTGTCAAGCTCCGGAGGCGATCAGTTTGAGCTTGAAGAATCAACTCCTGAAATGAAATCTGGGCCGTTGGATTCTCCTCGAGCTCCTACAAGGCGTGTGGAACTCGATGAGGCGGGTGTAGGGGAAGCGCACCCCGTCGAAGCGGCTGAGCGTGACAATAGCGAGCGGCGAGGGATGGACGAAAATGATGTGACTCAAACGGTGGTGGCTATGAGGGAGGGGTTGGGCCGTAGTGGAGGGAATGAAGTCCCCTTGTCCACATCCGGTGCAACACGCAGCGATATAGTCACACCGGCTTCTAATGAGGCCTCAATAGAATCACATCGAAGTGATGATGGCTCTATTGTCTCGCAGTCTGCGTCCCTCGATAGCAGCGGAAGCAGCGGGGAGGGGGGAACGACGAGCGTGAGTTTAGGAAGCAGTGGTGGACGTGACGCGTTACCGGTCGACACGTCAGCCGCCGAGGAAACAGCGCCAGATGCGGAGAGGGAGCTTTCAGCCGCCACCGCCGCGATGACAGGCAAAGGCGCTTCGGACGCAGCAGCAGCAGCAGGCGAAGAGGCGAAACACGCAGCAGGAAACGAGCCGAGTAGCACCGAGAAAGCAGCAGCGAGTGCTAGTAGCAGCACCGGTGCTGCTACTAACGAGGATAAAGGCATCCACGTGTTCGTATCGACGGACGAGACGGACCTCCGGCCGATCGCCGTGGTGATCAACTCGACGCTTGTGAACGCGCGCGAGCCGTGGCGCGTGGATTTCCATCTGGTGGTCCCAGAGAAAAACGTTGCCGCGATGCGGAAGAAACTGCTGCCGCTCTTCCCGTCCACGCGCATCGAGATCGTGAGGTGAGTGTATTGACGTCATGTCACTCTCTCTCTCTCTTCCCGCCTGTAATTGACGCATTCCGCTGCACCCACCGCCATTCCGCCATGGCGTGTGGATTTCCACCTAGTGGCGGAAGAAGCTGCTCCCGCCCTTCCCCTCCACGCGCATCGAGATCGTGAGGTGAGCCCTTTCCGCCTCCTTCCTCACCCTTCCCCCTCACCCCCTTCCGGCTCTCCCACCAGCTTCTCACCCCTCTCCCTCATCTGTCTCTCACCCCTCCAGCCCCGGCCTCTCCCCCTTCCCCGCTTGTTTCTGCTCCCCCTTATAAAACTGATGTTTTGGGACGTCATAAAAGTGATGTTTTGGGACGTCATAAAACTGTATGTTTTGGGACGTCTCAAAACATCTGTCTCTCACCCCTCCAACCCCCGCCTCTCCCCCTTTCCCGCTTGTTTCTGCTCCCCCCGCAGCATCAGCCCCTCGCTTGCCAGCGGCGCTACCGCTGCCACTGCCGCTGCACCTTGTGCTGCTCCTTCTGTTGGAACAACAGCAGGAGGAGCAGCAGGAGCAGCAGGGGTAGCAGCGGTGGGAGCAGGGAAAGAGGGCGGGGCGATGCGGATGGGGTGCTGGGGGAAGCTCGGCGCGCTCATCACGTACAAGGAGGGCAGCGGCGCGCGCAAGGAGCTGATGTCCATCTTCAACTCGCCCCCCCCTGCTTCCCCTTTTCCCCTCCTGTTTCCTCCCCTCCCCGCAGTAAAGAGTGAATTTTTGAGACGTCTCAAAAAATCACTCTTTACAAGGAGCTCGTCTCCATCTTCAACTCCCCGCCCCCCTGCCTCCCCTTTTCTCCTCCTGTTTCCTCCCCTCCCCGCAGCATCAGCCCCTCGCTCGCCAACGGCACTGCCACTGCTGCTGCACCCGCTGCTGCTACAGCCGCCGCTGCTACAGCCGCCGCTGGGGCAGGGGCAGGGGCAGGAGTAGCAGCGGCAGCAGAGGGAGCAGGAGGGGCGATGCGGATGGGGTGGTGGGAGAAGCTCGGCGCGCTTATCACGTACAAGGAGGGCAGCGGCGCGCGCAAGGAGCTCGTCTCCATCTTCAACTTCCTGCCGTTCTACCTCCCCCAGATGGCGCCGCAATTCCGGAGGATTGTCTACTTGGACGCGGATATTGTCGTGGTGGTGAGTGTGGGGGAGGGAGGGAAGGGAAAGCGGAAGGGCAATGGGGAAGGATGCGCGGGGAAGGAGCTGGCGGTGGTGGTGAGCGGAATGGGGGGAAGTGGGTAAAGGGGGGAAGGTGCGGACGTGTCAGAAGAGTGAGTCTGGGCCGAGACTGTATGCGGGTGTGTGAGGTGGAAAAGGGGGGGAAGGGAGAGGAAGGGAGGGGAGGGAGCTGGAGGGGCAGATGAGGGCGCGCAAGGAGCTGGTCTCCATCTTCAACTTCCTTGGGTTTCTGCCCTCCCCCAGATGGCGCCGCAGCTCTGCCAGATCGTGTATCTGGACGCGGATTTTTTTTAGAATTCTCAAAAATACCCTGCCGGATCGTGTATCTGGACGCGGATATCGTTGTGGTGGTGAGAGAAAGGGAGGGGGAGGGTGGGAAGTTGGAGGGGATGTGGGAGAAAGTTGGGTTTCTACCTCCCCCAGATGGCGCGGCAGTTCTGCCGGATGGTGTATCTGGATGCGGATATTGTTGTGGTGGTGAGCGGGCGGGACGGGAAAGAGTATGAGCATGTGAGAGGGAGTGAGAGGGAGAGGGAGTGAGAGAGTGTCGACAGGGAATGCGGATGTGTCAGGGGTGGCAAGAGAAGGTGGAGGGCCAGTGGGGAAGGGAAGGAAGGGGGAAGGGACACGGGGGAAGGGACATGGGGGAAGGGACACGGGGGAAGGGACACGGGGGAAGGGACACGGGGGAAGGGACACGGGGGAAGGGACACGGGGGAAGGGACACGGGGGAAGGGACACGGGGGAAGGGACACGGGGGAAGGGACACGGGGGAAGGGACACGGGGGAAGGGACTCGGGGGAAGGGACACGGGGGAAGGGACACGGGGGAAGGGACACGGGGGAAGGGACACGGGGGAAGGGACACGGGGGAAGGGACACGGGGGAAGGGACACGGGGGAAGGGACACGGGGGAAGGGACACGGGGGAAGGGATTGGCAAGGGTGAAGGGACACGGGGGAAGGGACTGGCAAGGGTGTGTGAGAAGAGGGATGAGATCGGGAAACGAGAGAGGGACGAGAAATTTACTTTTGAGAATTCTCAAAAGTAAAATTGACGAGAAAGGGTGGAGCGGAAAGGTGATGATAGGGATGCGGAGTGGATGGGGGGTTGGGTATGCGTACGTGAGAGATGCAGGGGAAGTAGGGGAAATGGAAGAGCATTATGTGTATGAGAGACATGCAGCACTGGAGTGGAAAGGTGATGATAGGGATGCGGAGTGGATGGGGGGTTGGGTATGGAGAGCTGGCTGGCGTGGACATGGAGGGGATTTTTTAGTCGACTTCATTTGTTTATGTATCGTTCCCATTTCGTTTCGCCTTCTTTTCAATCAGGGCGACATTGGTGAGCTGGCTGACATGGACATGGAGGGGATTTCTTAGTTGACTCAACAATTGTATAATATTCCCATTTCGTTTCGCCTTCAATTCAATCAGGGGGGCATTGGAGAGCTGGATGACGTGGACATGGAGGGGATTTTTTTGTCAATACGAAGATTGTGTAATTTTCTGTTTGTTTCACTCTCGCTCCCAACCAGGGCGACATTGGCGAGCTGGCTGACGTGGACATGGAGGGTCGGCCAGTGGCGGCAGTGCAGGACTGCATGCAGACCTTCAAGACCTACTTTGACTTTGACCAGCTGGCAGCGATTCAGGTAAATCCTCGGGTGAAAATTCAGATGAATATTCAGGTGGGTGACGGCAGTGCAGGACTGCATGCAGACCTTCAAGACCTACTTTGACTTTGACCAGCTGGAGGTGATTCAGGTGAATACTTGGGCGAATGTTCAGGTGGGTAGACTGAAGCGGCAGCAACAGTGAGGGACCGCATGCACATCGCCCGAAGTTCCTTCGACATTATAAGTAGTCAGTGCCGTACATTGCTGTCTACAGGGTTACTTTTGTGAGGAAGGACCCTTCCGAGCGATAAAAGCCCTCTTCTCTTCGCCTTTTGACAAGACCACATGCGTTTTCAACCGTGGAGTGCTTTGCTGCTCATGGACGTGCAACGCTGGTTACAAAGCAACATTCTCCCTTTCACCTGCGCCGCTCTTTCTCCCCTTTCCCCAGGCTCGGAAAGACCCTTCCAAGCCATGGATGCCCTCGGGGCCCTTCAATAAGACCACATGCGTTTTCAACCGTGGAGTGCTGCTCATGGATGTGCAGCGCTGGTTACAAAGTAACATCTCTGGTGCAATCGAGTGGTGGATGTCTGAGTTCAGTCGTGCACCCAATCCCCTTTATAAGTTCGGCATGTCGCAGCCGCCGTTCCTGTTGACGATTTACGATCGGTATAAGAAGCTGGACCGGATATGGAACACCCGAGGCTTGGGAAGGGACAGGTTCGGCGAGAAGGAACGGGACTACCTAGCCACGATTGGACTCGGGCGGCCGCCGAAGCGGCCGTTTGTCAGTTTCTGGGCAGATTCAGCCAAAATTTTACATTTCAACGGGAAATTCAAACCGTGGAGAGGGAAGAGGGAGAGGAGGGAAGGGGAGGAGGTGAAGTCAGTGTGTGGAGAGAAGAGGTTTGACTGTGCGAGGCTGTGGTGGCAGTACTTATCTCCCGAAGCTGAGGCGGAGCTTCGGAGGAAAGGCAAGGGGAAGAAAGTGAGCACTGCGACACATGCTGTGCAAGATGCGTAGGTGGCTGCTGACCCACCAGCATGCCACTAGGTGTAATGGTGAAGGTTTCGAGGTAGGGACTCTGGTCAGTGATCCTGGAGGGCTGGGGTCCTGTAGCTGGTATATCGGAGTGAGGTGAGGTGTGAGACAGTGAGGTGCGAAACAGTGAGGTGCGAGACAGTGAGGTGCGAGACAGTGAGGTGCGAGACAGTGCGGTGCTGAGGTGTGCCAATTGTTGTGATCAGTGCGTGGTTACTTCTGGCTGGCTCTGCTTTATGAGGCTGAAGCTAACCTCTAAAGCTAATCTTCGTTGTGACTAAATGCTAGGTAGGTAGGACCCTTTCTATTATTGATGTCATGTATAACCCTTCATTATTATTGATCGTGACTGCACACACTCAACCCCTTATAACACAGCCCATGAAAAAACACAGGAGCCTTGTCACCCTCAGTTCAGGATCCTCAGTATCTTAGAGGCCACACTGGTTATAGAGTCGGTAAAAAGGTTCTAGCATCATATTTCTAGCATATTTGGGCAAGGGCGCTACCACGCTCAGCAATCTTAGAGGTACGGTAAAAACAATCTAGGCCCAGAGAGCGACTTACGTATGCCCCAAGAGTACGTACGTACATGTAGGGTAGGTGTTGCCTTTCCAGGCTTCCCACTGTTAAGCCATCCCCTTACTCAGCCATTACCGTATTTCATCAGGCATCCCTTGCGTTCTCTCTCAACCAGCAGTCATCCACTTCCATGATAATTTTCATATCCATCTGCTCCAGCTCCTCTGCTGACATGGCAGTCACAGCTGCGTCCACCTCAGCATCAAGATTTGCCTCGTCAGCTGCCTGCGTTTCTGCGACAGCTGTGGGCGACGCAGCAGGGGAAGCAACAGCAGCCATGCGAATGGCTGGGTGTAGCCTATCCATGAGGCCTTGAAGAAGGTAGTGTAGCTCCGGGTCGGTGCGTGAACCGTGCGGGAACGACTGCTTATCCAACTTTGTATGGCGTACGTGGTGTAGCGGATTTTTTCCAGCAAGCCTTGGGGGAGCTGATCTCCACCGTCGATTTTCCCTCGAGACCTGACCTTGTGGGGGTGGAAACACGCGTTTCCCTTCAGCGCGTCTCCCTGTATCGCGTTTCACGCCATCGTCAGCATCATCAGCACCATTATGATGGGTCGTATCCCTTCCGCTATCCTCGTTATTCGCGTTCCGTAATTCGCTACAAGCAGTGTCATACAGACTTCCGTCTTGCACATCGTTGCTGCTGCAGACACTGTCTCTCCGCCGTTTCTGGCTCGAAAACGACGAATTTTCTTGATTTAAATCGAATCTGCCGCCGCCGATAAGATTTTCGCCGTCCGAAGGCTTATCCACGTTGCCCCACGCCCTGTCCAGCTCCTCGCAGACGTCCAGATCTTCATCGGACGGTTCCCATCGCGTGCTGGTCGCGCCGCGGTGACAGCACGGTCGTTCAGCTTCGTGAAGCGGCGCCGTCGGCACTGCGTCGACTCTAAGAGAGAGTAAGTTTGCGTTTGCCAACCGACAAGTAGTCTGTGCGGCGAAGCTTGCGATTGGAACCTCCTGATCAGTTGCGAGCTTCGCCGCGTCGCCGGCGCCGGCAATTTCAAGGCGTGGAAAACTTGAAAGGCCCGGCAGATGCGCAGGAAACGGCAAATTGATGCGTCCTGGTGCATCAACGCCGTAACCACTCGTTGTACTCGCACCCGCTGCTGCAGCGACTCGGAGGGCTTCCGGGAATTGCGGCGAGGGGTAAGACGCGGCGCCGGCATCATGACGTCGGGCTCCATTATGGTACGAGTTGCTTCCGGCCCCATGAGCGTCGTAATTGCCATTCAGGAAAGGGGGGTCCATAGTAACAGTTCAGGGGCGCGCGTATCTCCTAGGAGGGATTTGGTCGACAGAGCTGCTGGTGAGAACACAACGAAGCTCGAAGAAACAGGTGAACGATTTGGTTTTGTAGAAGTCGCTTATAAGATTGTGAAATCGCTCGTGTGTGCTGTACACAGGCAAGCGCAATACTGTATCTCACCGCCAAAGTCTATTTTCGTTCTGTTGCCATGCCGGTGCAGAAGTGAATGGAGGAAGGGGTACACCTGATGCTCACCTCCTGCACGCGAAATTGCCTTTTACCGGATGGAAACCTTGCACCCGTGGGTTTTGTGCCGTGACGTTGCACCCACGTTACAAGCACGTCGACCAATACGAACCACAGAAACTGAAGTTTGACTGACGAGACCAAAGTAAAAAAGTCAGCGTTGAGTTACAATTGTTTTTTATAAGCCCTTTTTGCCCGATGCGAATTGACGAAATCTTCAAGCGAAGCGAGAATCGCTTATAAGCCCAGAGGGTAAGGCGAGGTCGGGGGGCTCAACCAGGCATCGTGTGTACGTATGTGAGGACAAAAACGGTCCTCAGGTTCCAAAAGGAGAACGGTTCACCCGGATTGCGGAAGGAAACTTCTCCTTTTGGAACCTGAGGACCGTTTTTTACAGGTTTGTAACGTCTGTTTACGGTAAAATACGGTTCTTTTTCCTCTACAAAAATGTGATTTCGTTTATCGCGCCAGCCATCGGACTGCATGTGGGTTGCGTATTTTGCCAGGCACACTTTCGTGAAGTGTCCGGGTGGTGGGTTGGTTGTCGTGTCGAATTTGTCAATGGTTTCATCGATTTCCACCGTGACCTACCCACATAGCGAACTATTCTTTAGCCATCTATTAAAGGTCCGGAAGTAGGATCCAGAAGTTCGTGGAATTCTGCTTTGGTTTAGCTGCCAAATACACGTCAATATTACCCCTGAAATTATAGGATGAAACGACAAGCGAGCCAGATGTCGCATTGTCTCACTGGGCAAACTACTGTATACTTTTACGGAAACTTCATGCAGGAGTGGACAAGTCTGCCAATGAAGCTGCTGCTATCCAGAATACCCGCAGGAATGCGACTGATTGGCTAGCTGTAGGACCAGTGCAATAGCGACGCGACGACTGCTCCATCTCGGCACCGCACTTCCACATCACAGGGAGCCCAAAGCGCTTCATGAGGTGGTGTTGTACTTGGGCAAAATGCTGTACTGGAAGAAAACCAAAACCCAGTCTCAAGTGTACACTTAGGGCGTGCACCCAAACGGGTTTGATCGCCTCGATCAGCCGCGATCAATCATTTCCAGGAACCCTGGAAGCCATTTTCTGGCAATCGGGGGCAATCAGCTGATCGCCCAAACTCAATCAGACCCGATTTTCACCCCGATCAGAATCGATTTTCCACGATCACATACGATCAATTGATCGCTACTGATCGGGGCCACAGCGACGTTTGCGAAATGTTACTCTGTATTACTAGGCATCGTCAACCCCTCACGAATTGGTGGAAGATTCCGCAAAGAACAACACGTGCGGAGTGGGATTGGCGATATTACAGGGATACAGATATTTTCGCAAGGTTCCGTCAGCTCGCAATTCTCGCTAAAATTGGGCGGAAAATGCCTGGTATTTGGACACTGCTTGCTGCGCAGCCAGCCCGAATGTACGAAAAATTCTGCTGATCGGGCGGCTCAGTTGCGATCAAACCCGATTGGGACCACGCCCTTAGCCAGTGTGTCAGCGACCATACACTGCCGGAAGTTGGGCTTGGCAGGCCTGAGGCGCTGGGACCACCAATTCCATCTCTGTGCATTTCTCCAACAGACCTTTCATGCACCTTTGGTCTTCCCCACTTGATCAACTGCACAACTGCACGAGAAACCTTCAATGCATACAAAAAAAGAGGTACTACCTCTTTTTTTGGAAAGGTCAGCTCCGTCCCGAGCATTGTTCACATAACAAACACGGAATGGATGGAATACAACAGAATACAGTTACCGTAGTCAAATATTTGTGAGAGTATTAGATTTTTTTTCAGGGTCAGCAAACCGCGATTAAGGAGGGCAGATTCTTCGTTCCCATGTTTTGGGTGATGTGATGATGATTTCTTCTCGTGCACATGTGTTTTGTGGGAACGAGTGGCCAAAAGACTTCTGCACCTGCTCCCATCGACTGCTGGTCTTCGAATGTGTGGTGTGGACATGTTTGGCAGCATGCAGGAGCAGCTTCACAAGCGCTCGTCCGTTTGAGGACATTGGATTGACATTGCGGCAATCCTCTTCTTCCATTGTCAACGTTGTCGTGATCTGCCTGCAGCTTGCCAGTGCAGTGCAGTCTGTTTTCAGGAAAATGCAGAATGAATACAGTATATTTTCTTCAAGAAATGGTAATTAGTTGTCGTACAAACCTACACAATGCAAAGCAAAAAGCTTGACGAATTCGCGCCAAACCCATTACACTGTCAACATTTATCTTCGATAGGTTTGTCCCGTTACCTCCCGCTGGACTCCTCTACGTTTACATCCCAAAGCTTTGCTCCCTAGCTAAAGAATGCAACACGTCCTAATCCTACAATGGTCACCATTTTTTCGTTGAAAGTCACCCATGTTCTTGCTATCAGAGCGCTACTACATTCTGGTGATGTTGAATCTCAATTCCCAAAGCTGGTCTTGAAATTGTGAATCAATCGTTTCTTAAACTGGTGAGTGAAATTAGTACAGCAGTGGGACAAACTGGAAAGCCATAAATCGTGAGGTGACTTGTCGCCAGAAGGGCGAATGCGTAGCACTCAATGCCTAAACGAAGTCAAAACTTGACGTTCAGAAGTCATCTTTGCGACATCCAACAATGGCGGTAACATCGTCTAACTCCATAATAATATCCATGTCCAGAATCTTCAAATCCTCTGAAGCCATGGCCTCGATTTCGGCGTCAAGAGCAGGGCCAAGTCCATGATATGGGTCCGTCTCTTCTCCGCAATTGTCGTCAGACTCGCCAAAAAATCGCGACGACTCGAAAGCAGCGCCGAGAGGAGGCGGTGCGGTGCAGGCCGTTGCGGTTTCAGCGACGATCGTTTGGGAAGGTGCTGTCGCGTACGAGCTGACGCCACTGACGGTCCGAGAAAGGGAAGCAGCAT